ATTTATAATTTGCAACGTCTTTGCTACTAAACAAAAAAAATGACCAATGCCACTGGCATGAGCAGATTTTAACCTACGCCTAACGCACATAGATATATGTTTATACTCTTTAGAAATCATGTGTTAAGTGGATTTTCTTATAGATTTAATTTGAGATATATACGTGCATTGCGTGTATTTTTCCTCAAGAGATCCTCGTCACACCGATTTTATTATTAAAACCGAATATGAATGAAATACTTTTCATCAACCGTAATCCTTCTAATTTTGATATCTGCACGCCAAGTGCAATCTAATTTAAAGTCTTACCAGTAGAAATGGGTTTTCGTGGTCACTATGATTACCCATTTGAATTTTCATAATTACTGAGTGCTGTATACAGCACTGAAGTAAATAAATAGCAAACTATTTGTTAAAAGTAATCTGCTGCCGCAAGTCAAATCCGTTATTTTATACGCCGAATATTTAGTTTTTAATATAATCTCTTTCCTTGTAAACCAACGCCTTTATATCTATCATATAATGCTTTAATTATAGAGAAAAAATTCAGATCAAAATTCGGCTTATGAAAATTAAGCAGCCATAAGTCTCAGGAGAATATGGAGTCTACTAAGATGTCTATGTAATACCTGTTGCAGACTTCTTTGTTTTCCTTTAAATCCCATAGAGCCAACCCGTGGTTCATATTGCAACTAAGGTGAGAGGTCTTTATTTACAGTTTCTGGGAAATAACGCGTAATCTGGTGTGATCTGTGGCCGAAAAAGCCTAGTATACTCAAACCATTGGTCACGTTGACTTTTTACTTAGTACTAGCAAAACCATCAGCTAATAAGCTACTGATTAATAATCCATTCTCTTTTTCCCCTCTGTGTGAGTGCGTGTGTGTGTGTGTTCCTATGAATAAATGAAGGTTTCCTAAATGTACCATAAACAGCGGTAAAAGTCAATATTTGCACGTTTAATGAAATGGCCCTCTAAAAAGTATGAGGTTGATGATTGACGTTGTGTTGGTGATGGGTGCGGAATATATTTAATTATTTTCTGCTTGCCGACCTAATCAAGTCAACAACTACGACAAAATATCGGACTTCTAAGCTCTTATTTATTTTCCCCACAACCTAAATAAACATTTCCGGAAAGAACGAAATGAAAAAGTTTTGATAGATAATTGGTTTATTTTGAAGCAGAAAATAAAAAAATAATATATAAAGCTTCGAGATAGATAAGTATGAACATTTTGATAAAGATAGATAAAGAGTATCGTATAGACACACAAGCAAATTCCGTTTTTAGGAACCAATTGTAATGATGAATGTATCATCCTAACTAACCGGTGATGAAAAATGAGTTTAATTTAATTCAGTCCTAAAGGCAGTTCGTAACCCGAAATGTTCGTAAACTGAAACTATTTTTCCAATAGGAATCAATGTAGAGGAGAAAAAAAAGCCGTAGTACAATAAAATTGGAAAAGAACACGTTCGGGTTAACTCGGTTCAGCAATGTTGTTCAGCCGAAATTTTGTTCAATAACCGAGGCATTTTCATCTCGAATTTTCTGTTCGAAAACCAATTTATTCGACATGCGAAATGTTTGAGAACCAAGGTTGCACTGTACTTACGACAAAGTTCGCCGCAAAAGGATGAATTTTCACAACCGATCCCAAAATCTGAGATTCATGGGGGGAAAAGTAGTATTGTGCGTTTGGTGAGATTGTCGAGGTATTATTTAATTAGAGTTCTTAAAAGGCAATGAAATGTACATGTATACGACCAGTAAATGTAATTTAAAAATCTGGGAAGTGTTTTAACAGAGGACGGAATGAACGACACTGTGATTCGAAGACGTATTGAGATAGCTAATGAAGCATTCCAAAAGCTAAGCAAAGTATTAAGAAATAGGAAAAATTCTCTAGAAACAAGAAAAAAATGTAGTAAACTGTAATATGATACCTGTCCTCCTGTATGGCAGTGTGTGCTGAACGGTCTCCTCCACAATGAAGACGAGACTTGAACCAATAGAAACGTGGTTCTACAGAAGGATGCTGGGGATACCGTGGGCCGAACATGGGAGTAACGTCGAGGTTTGGTAGAAAATAGAAACGAAAAGGGAACATAACATCTGGAGGAGACAGTTGAAGTTTCTGGGGCATATAATGAGGAAAGATGTCTTGGAAAATCTCGGGATAGGTAGAGGGCAAGAGAGAGGGGTGGGGACAGACAAAGCAAAACATACTTAATGATTTTGAGTAAATGGATAGAGGAACGTGGCTTAGGAGGAATAACAGAAAGAAAAGCTTTATTAAGTGCTACCAGGATCAAGAAGTCGTAGAGAGCCATGACCGCCTACGTCATGAAGGGACACAGTACATTAAGAAGAAATACAGCATATCCATAAAAGTTTGGTCGAAATGCGCCCTGCGCCCGTGAAAGATGATGTTCTCTTCAATGACAACGCAAGGCCGCATGCAACAGGGATAACATAGGAAACAATTTGGGAACACGGTTGTTCTGTTTTTCTCCACCTCTCCGCCATATTCACCTGGCCTTACGCCAAAAGATTATTATCTTTCTTGATCATTGCAAAATGCTTTGAAGTAAAACAAAATTCCTTAATAAAAAACAAATTCAAAATTCCAGTAAAAACTTTTTCACATCAAAACCTGAGTATTTTTTACCCAGAATATATCGAAGTGCTGCCTCATAAATGACATTGCCAGTAATGGTAGGAGGAACGGTGGAGGAATGGATAACGGTTCAGATTGAGGAATCGGACAATTCGAATTCCAGTCGAATCCATTACATTTATCACGTGCTAATACCCTTGGGAATGGTATGAATCCTCTTCTTCTTCCTCCAACTATGGGAAAATAGCAGGACAGTCCAGGTTCTATAGCAACTTGGATGGCAACTGGTCTACCGCAAAAAGAAATGGCAACCTATTGCGGAGAAAAAATCTGCCTCGTCAGTCATGTATCGAAAGATACATGATCGTCTAAGCATGTATCACGCATAGCACATAACTGAGTGATACTGAAATATTTGCCAGTTTCCCTAAAGTTTGGACACATATGCAAAAATGCATATTTTCAAGAAATTAAATTTTCAGCAACATGTTACTGAATTGGAATATAAACGCATAACTTCTTCAATTTTGATTTCCATCATTTGTGGTGCAAAGGTGGATTTGCTTTTCGAGATTCACGTGACCTCGTTGCAATAACGCCACATTGCCGTCAGTTTTAGTACATCCACTCTTTATGCGTTCAATCAAGTGTGTTGCATCTGTGATTTTCATTGAGTTCACCTCCTTTAGCAGACCCCAGAAAAAGATGTCAATTCTTTCTTTCAACAAAATAATGTTTTAATCTGTAGAGTTAAAAAATATAGTTAATGAGATTTCCTATTTGTCCCGACTTTAGGGACATCCTATCTATGTAAGAAATATTGTTGGAAAATCTTTGGTTATTATAATAAAGGTTTCAACCTCTTATATTATTTAAAATTATAATAAATCATAGGGAATATATTTAGCGATGTCGATATGGTGTCAATGTGAAACTGCTTTCATTGCTTAGTGGGCAGGACCTGAAACTGCTTTCATTGCTTAGTGGGCAGGACCTGTACTTGGTGGATTCATGTTTTATAATGTATTCTTAGTCTTTAAAATGTCCTTAAAGTCTGGACACATAGGGAAAAAATGCATATTTTCGAGAAATTAAATTTTCAATAAAATTTTATTGTATTGGAATATTAACAAATAACATCTTCAATATGATTCCATCATTTGTGATGCAAGGGTTGATGCGTTTTGCAAGATTCACGTGAACTCGATTCATTCTTTCGACAGTGCAGTCAATTTTATCACATCCACTCTTTATGCGTTAAATCAAGTGTGTTGCATCTGTGATTTTCATTGAGTACACCTTCTCCTTTAGCATAACCCAGAAAAAGAAATCAACTCTTTCTTCTTTCGACAAAAGCATGTTTAATCTGTGGAGGTAAAAAAATATGGTTAATAAGATTTCCTGTGTCCAGACTTTAGGGACAACCTGTACAATTGAATAGAATAGAATTGTACTTGTATTTTGAAAAATAAAGTTAATAAAAAAAGGAAATATTTTATATCGCCTACTATTTCGCATTCATCTTCTTTTCTGTTAATTCGAAGGGTTGTAAACTGTATGTGATAAGTCACCTTTAAGTAAAGATTACACATGACTCTTTGTAACTCCCCACCTTCCTGCTACCCATTCCCATAAGCTCGTCGGGTAGATTGCTCGCTAGCTCCTCTTGTCCCTCCTGGGAGTACCCAAGCCCTCTCTCTTTCTAATTGTGAGTATAAGTATTCCTTTGTTTTTATTTTCTTTCAATTTTTTTCTCTGTGATTACAAGCTCCATAGTATTCTCAGGATCCTTGTGTAGAACTACGTTTCTATTGCCTTAAGTATCCTCTTCATCTGTGAGAAAATTCTCCATTATCTACTTCTATAATAGGAGGACTGATATTTCATCCTAGTTCAGCACTCTTTTCTTTACTTCCAACGGCATTTTCCTTTTTTCTTTTTTTTTTTTTTTTTTTTTTTTTGTCTAATTGTTGCAAAACATTTTTCTCTTTCAATTCGTCTTCAGATTTCAGTGTCACATTTTCCATCCATTTTCTAGATATCTAAACTTCGGACATTGCTTGATTTTCACATCTGCAATTTGTAGTTTGCATTTGGGGCTTTTTTTTCTCTTGCTAAAAAATCATACATTCTATCTCCTTACTATTGATGCATTGTCTTTTATTCTCGCTTTCACGACGCAGCATCTAAAATTCCATCCCCAAACTTAGCCTGACTTCTTATGTTAACTCACTACAGTGGTGTTTTCAAAGTATGCCAAGAGATGAGTATTAAAGAGTGGAAAATGCTGGAACAGATACAAGTGTATCTAAATTTTATTTTTCTTTACACTTTAATCGACTTGCCAATGTGTCTTTTATGTAGTAAAGGTCATACCGTTGAATTGGCGATCAACTCTGCGACGTTTCCTTAAAGAGACTGACATGTACATTAAACTGCCGCTCCGAGCAACGTTCATTGAAAACTGACAGGATAGGTCAAGTCGACTGATTCCCATCGCTCTTGTTATTTTCTTGTTAGTTTCGTGAATTCCCGATGATGAAAGACCTCTGGAGAGGTAGAAGTAGAGAATAACATAAAATCCTACTTTCAAAGCATCTAAACTTGCCAAGTGTATATTCATTTTTGAAGCGCTTCAGCTGTTTATACCATTTGATGTTTCAAAATGTACTTTATCCATTTTCAAGTTCACTTTCTGGTAAATTCCTTTGGTAGATATTGACTGTAGTTATTAGCAGACCAATGATATACCATAGAATCAGGTTATATTTAGCCCACAAAATCCCGATATTGCTTTATAGAGACACCTTTTTTTACATATATTGTGACTCTCTTGTTTAAAGTTCATATTTTCTTAATTTCAAATAAAAATTTAGAAAAGATTCAGTGAAATTTTTATATACCTGTTATGATGTTAATTTGGGGTTAATAAAGACAAACGCCAAATAACATGTAACAATAAAATGGGGTTTATTCGGTTGGTAAGTTGGTACAGATATCGCCTGAGTAGTCTATAACTAACTCAGCCCAGAACTTCTTCTACACTGTCTTTTGACATGCCACTATTTAACACCCTTGTTTGTAGACGAGTTCATCTTCAAGAGGGGTGGTAGATTCCTACACAACAATACCAAAATTATATACACTATTTACATTGTTCGGACTGTCGTCCTCATCTTTATTTTCATATTCACGACGTTTCAACCATTGAACGCTCCGACCTTCTTCAGGTGATATACTTTGGAATTTCGAAATGAACCATTTATTTCGTCCACCAAGTTAGATTGTTTTAGTTCCACGTACCATGCCTTTTTTTGGATATCTCAGTATCTGCTGTAGCCAGGTATTGAATTCACAACTCTTTGGGCCAAGTCACTAGATTACGTCAACCAACGTTTTATTATCCACTGGATCATGTGACCATGGTTAGAAATACCAACGTATCACCTGAAGATGGCCGGAGCGTAAAACGGCCGAAACGTCGTGAATATGACAATAAATATGAGGACAATAATCCGAACAATGTAAATAGTGTGAATAGTTACAATACCTCATCTCAGGAATATAGACATATTTCAGTATAATTTTCAAATTCCAAAATTATATTTCATATTTTAGAAGTGCAGGAAAAAAGTAGATGTCAGTTTAAACTGATGCCAACAGAGTATAGGTTAATCTTTTAAAGGAAACACTTGCGTTGTAAAACTGTTTTACACCTTATTACTGCGGCTTTTTTATTTCAGCACTTTGGATCGATACACTCTTCGACTTTTAGAGCAAAGCATGAAAAATCAGAAAAAGAAAGAAATAGCAGATGACCTCGCTTTTCTGGATGCTATTCTTCATAGACATAAGTTTAAACACTTTCTTCTCCGATTCTCTGCGCCATTGTTTATTATCTAGTTATTTTTTTCTTAATATTTTAATCGCACGATAAAATGTTAGTTAGCAGAGACAAAAAGAAAAGGGTTCATCAGTATGGTATCTTGTTTTCTTCCCTCGAAAGAGAAAGCGGTTTATTATCTAGTTATTTTTTTTTTAATATTTTAATCGCACGATAAAATGTTAGTTAACAGAGACAAATAGAAAAGGGTTCATCAGTATGGTATCTTGTTTTCTTCCCTCGAAAGAGAAAGCGGTTTATTATCTAGTTATTTTTTTCTTAATATTTTAATCGCACGATAAAATGTTAGTTAGCAGAGACAAATAGAAAAGGGTTCATCAGTATGGTATCTTGTTTTCTTCCCTCGAAAGAGAAAGCGGTTTATTATCTAGTTATTTTTTTCTTAATATTTTAATCGCACGATAAAATGTTAGTTAGCAGAAACAAATAGAAAAGGGTTCATCAGTATGGTATCTTGTTTTCTTCCTCGAAAGAGAAAGCGGTTTATTATCTAGTTATTTTTTTCTTAATATTTTAATCGCACGATAAAATGTTAGTTAGCAGAAACAAATAGAAAAGGGTTCATCAGTATGGTATCTTGTTTTCTTCCCTCGAAAGAGAAAGCGGTTTATTATCTAGTTATTTTTTTCTTAATATTTTAATCGCCTCCCCTATGTTATTAGCAGAGACGAACGAAAAGGGTTCATCAGTATGGTATTTGTTTTCTTCCCTCAAAGAGAAAGCTTTATTATCAGTTATTTTTTCTTAATATTTTAATCGCATAAAATGTTAAATAGACAAATAGAAAAGGGTTCATCAAATGGTATCTTGTTTTCTTCCCACGAAAGAGAAACTGCGGTTTATTATCTAGTTATTTTTTTTTAATTCTTTAATCGCACGATAAAATGTTTTAGTTAAAACGATGGTATCTATTTTCAAAGAGAAAGGGTTTATTATCTAGTTATTTTTCCATTTTTAATCGAAAAATTTAGTTAGCAGAGACAAATTGAAAAAATTCATCAGTATGGTATCTTGTTTTCTTCCCTCGAAAGAGAAAGCGGTTTATTATCTAGTTATTTTTTTTCTCAATATTTTAATCGCACGATAAAATGTTATCGGCCTGTTGAATAGAAAAGGGTTCATCAGTTGGTATTTTGTTTCATTTAAGAAAGAGAAAGAGGTTTATTATCTAGTTATTTTTTTCTTAATATTTTAATCGCACGATAAAATGTTAGTTAGCAGAGACAAATAGAAAAGGGTTCATCAGTATGGTATCTTGTTTTCTTCCTCGAAAGAGAAAGCGGTTTTATTATCTAGTTATTTTTTCTTAATATTTTAATCGCACGATAAAATGTTAGTTAGCAGAAACAAATAGAAAAACTTCATCAGTATCATATCTTGTTTTGTCTTCAAAGATACAGGTGTTTACATCTAGTTATTTTTTGCTTTTTTAATCGAACGATAAAATCTTAATTCTCTTTCTTCTTTGAAAAGGGTTCATCAGTATGGTATCTTGTTTTCTTCCCTCGAAATAAAAAGCGGTTTATTAAAGAAGACATTTTTTTCTTAATATTTTAAAAAACTGGCAGGGAGCCCTAAAATGATATGTTAGCAACGATATAAATAGCGAATGGTTCATTATAGACGGTTCTTGACTTCGTATCAATCTTCAAACCGAAAACACAAGTTCATGAAGTATATTGATTTCGTGCTTAACACAGAATTAATGTACGAAACGAACTGATAGCTAAATAACCATAAAAAGGGTTCATCAGTATGGTATCTTGTTTATCTACATCAGCATACGTAAAGCGGTTTATTATCTAGTTATTTTTTTCTATATATTTTAATCGCAATGATAAAATGTTAGTATTCATATGCAAATAGAAAAGGGTTCAATAATACGCCTTTCTGTTTTCTGTACTCCTGTAGAAACACGGTTTATTATCTAAATTTTTTCTTAATATTTTAACAAACGAATATAAATTTGTTTTGTTTTTGAAACCCGCAAAAAAGGGTTCATCAGTAGGTATCTTGTTTTCTTCCCTACAAATGAGAAAGCGGTTTATTATCTAGTTATTTTTTCAGCAATATTTTCATCGCATATAAATAGATATCTTTAGCTATACAAATAGAAAAGGTGTCATCAGTATGGTATCTTGTTTTGTACGTGATACTGGCGCAAAGGAAACGCAGTCTGCTTTGGCAATTTTTTCTCCCATTTTAATCGCATCTCAAAACTTAGTTAGCAGAGTCAAATAGAAAAGGATCAGAGTTTGAGGCCTTGTTTTCTTCCCTCGAAAGAGAAAGCGCAATGCAACAAGAGAAGAGCATTACCGTTTTTGTTAGACAACTCGCTCTAGTCTCGTTCAAGCTATGACTACAACCTGTCTGCGTAAATAAGTTCACTTTAAGTTACACCTAAAAAATTCTTACTTGTTAGTTTATGAAAATAATAGGGACGTATCGCATTTGCTCTGATATGGTTTTATATCACTTTTTTATTCATTCTCTCTTTTTTACTATTTGTTTAGTTCAAAACGATCTCATTTTAAATTTACAGACATGTAAGAGAGTATAAACCATTTTGAAAATTACTACAGCAAATGGTGTCTGAGTTGGTTTCATGGCGAAAACTTTTTTCACCATCTACAAACGTTCTATCACCGATTGTACTTCTCTTATGAAATCTATCAAATCGGCCTATATAAATATATATATATATATATATATATATTTATATTTGTGTCTCGAGGTGACTAATGTTTTTTCACCTTCATAAAATTAATAAAGCCACTAAGGCACAAAAATTCACTGTAGGCTGAAAGAATCATGAGAAAACAAAACATTAATAAGAAGAGAGAACTATAAAGGAAGAGGAATTAAGAAAACAAAAGATAACGACTGTCATTGTCTTTCAATTTTTAAAGAACAAAGATGAATAGAAATGCTTTGAAGCTGAAAGAGAAAAAAAAGAATTCTGTTTCATAGAATTTTCTAACCATGTCAATGGTTGTTTAAATAAAATATATATATATATATATATATATAATTTATTCGAAAAAACTAAGCATAAATATGTTATAAAATCATTACAAAAATAACCAATTTTTTTCAACATTTCGTGGTGTCTTATCACCATCACTTTATAAGATAAACATTATATATATACAGGTAGTAATCCGTTGGTTTTCTAATCCAAGTGAATCCTATTAACAAAGCATAAAATATTAAATAACTAAAACTGTTTCACACATAGAGTCTCAATGTTTTTATAATAAACATATAATATATTTGTCAAGGCAACGTTGATATATGTTGTCATTATGTCAATGATCATTTTCATATTTTCAGTATAGCAATAATACGCCTTAAATTTAGATGTATTTTTCAAACAGACTATGGATGATAATTTTTGTAAAAAATTTTCCAAAAAACTTTATCATCTATTGACTGTTTTTTAAAAATTCTGCAAATTTAATTTCATTCCGAGGTGGAAATGTTCATTTACATAATTTGCATTTCGGGCTGGCGATATATATATATATATATATATATATATATATATATATATATATATATATATATATTAGTGGGGATATAGTAGTCAACAT